GTGTAAACTTTCTTAGTTTAGCGGAATCATGAACATTTTCGGCGTGATGAATGAATTGTTTACAGTAGCGATGAGGCCACCGCGCAGCTGCGAGCGGATCCAAAGATTTATGAATGAATTAAAAAAGATGGAAATAGAGTTTGATTTCTTTTATTTTATTTAATGACATTATTCATATGCAAGTAAAAGATATACAAGAAAATGCCAGATGCTAATAAATGCAGCTGACAATCTTTATTTTCTCAAAATAATTTTTTTTTTAATGAAATAATTATAAATTCTACAGACAAAACATAGGAAGAATAAATGATTGCAAATTATCAGATGACATAAGGGGAACTAAATTTTTTTATGAATGAAACTTTTAAAACGTTACTTGTAAGTTGTATATGTTATATCTGCGAATTCTACCTGGCTGCGCGCTTCCAGGGGGGGGGGGGGGGGCTGTCTTGAATATAGACTTGTAAATTACCATTATTTTGTAGATAGAATTAAGCCTTATCATTTTCTTAACTTTAAGAACAGTGCCTTGTTATATAAATGTCATAATCATTTTATGTAGAATGTAAAACATTAAAGCGGAATGCGCATCCATTTCAGTAAATGAGAAAGGTGGGGGCTAGGTTTCTTACAGTTTTCAAAAAAAAAAAAAGAAAATAATGGGGGCGGGGTATAAGATGCACACACATGACATATGTTTCATACTATTTATTTGCTTAAAACTCGACTCTGCAGAACCAGAGAAGGTTTTCTACAGGTCCATTCCCCATCACGGAGAAGACCTTACCTGCACAATGGCACCATGTGTATTGCCCGCGCAGCCTATTTATGAGAAAATGAAATGAATATTTTTTAGTGTTTAAGAAAACGTTGAACCTACGCTTGCGAAAGTTCTAAGACATTCAAAGATATTTAATTTCTCCTTTATCAAATCAAGAAACTGGTTATACGTTAAATCAGCAAATAGGGGCCTTTACTTATGCCATGAATATCACAGAAAAAGATAGAAAGAAAGACAAAGAAATTTTAAAAATCGACTTTTAATCCCCTTTTTCGTAACGACCGGAAGAATTGACGACGGACAAAATGTTGTTCGACACATCTTCAAGTCATGATCTATGATATCCGACACAGTAAACTTTCATATCTTAAGCTGTTCGGGAGAAATGGACCGGACAAAGGTCATTTCCAGAAGTTGGTCAATACGAAAATAGTAAGAATACTAGATACGATCTCGTTGCGAGCAACGACAGGTCTTCCGTCCGATTCAGGAAAAAAACTTATAAATTGGACTAAAAAGTGATTCAAAATTTTGATCACAAGGAGGAGTGAATCCAGGTCGCCAACGTGATTGCGCCTTTTTTTTCTCTTTTCTCCCCAACGCGCGAACCATTTAGCTATTGGGAATACTGCTTTAAATATACTTGTGCATACTTTTCCAACAGTACACCTGTCTAAGAATCATAAAAGGCGGGCCACTATTCATAATTTCGTGTCAAACGCCACGCGTAAACATTCGCAACCTTTCTTTGTACTGATCTATTAAAGAGGTGCAATAGCTTCAATGAAATTAATTAAATAAAACATTCTTATCACCTTTATTTTATTTCAGCGTTAGGAACGTATATTTCACATTGTACACATTACATATCGTATCTAGCCCATTAACACTAAAGCAGTGAAACGTAAATAAAGTTTTTTAAGATTGACACTGAGTTGCAACGTACTACTACGTGAGAGTCCAAGTAGTTTTTTGCATTTCATGTATCCTTATTTCAGAATGGTTTAATCAAACGCTCAGCTGTCTCCATAAGCCCCTACTCGTGAAATGTCGGAGTTGACATAGACAGCCGCCATCTTGGGCCCGCTTCAGATTTTCAAATATTAATATCTAGAGTTCAGATTAACCAATATTAAAACTACTTATATAGTAAGTATCAATAGAAGTGTCTCTATTAATATTCCAAAAATAAATGAAAAATATTGAAAAACAAAGAAAGTTGAAAATTTAGACTTTTTGAATTGGCTTTCGGTAGCGACAGGAAGTACTGACGACGAACGAAAAGTTGCGTCCTGGAAAGTATTGATCATCATCTATAAACTCTGAAAGTTTCACATTGATATCGTTTACCGTTTTTGAGTTTAATCGTGGACAAAATGGCGTTTTAAAATCAGGAAAATGGTCCAAAACTTGGCACCAGAGAGGAATTTCCAAAAACTGTCTTGGAACTTTCAAGAGTATCTTACAACACATCTTTCCTGAAAATTTCATGTAATTCTATCCAGTAGTTGTCGAGAAATCGTGTCAGAAAAATAATAATAATAATAATAATAAGAAACAGAGCAATAACTATAAGGTCTTCCGTGAAGACGGAAGACCTTAATTACAAATTGTCGCCTAGGTTCACGTCAGAATATGGCGGACGCAAAATAATTCCTGAATTTTCCTCTTTAACTCGAGCATTCCTGCATTGGACAGGTCTGATGTTTAATATGAGATGATAAACCCTGTGTAAACTTTCTTAGTTTAGCGGAATCATGAACATTTTCGGCGTGATGAATGAATTGTTTACAGTAGCGATGAGGCCACCGCGCAGCTGCGAGCGGATCCAAAGATTTATGAATGAATTAAAAAAGATGGAAATAGAGTTTGATTTCTTTTATTTTATTTAATGACATTATTCATATGCAAGTAAAAGATATACAAGAAAATGCCAGATGCTAATAAATGCAGCTGACAATCTTTATTTTCTCAAAATAATTTTTTTAATGAAATAATTATAAATTCTACAGACAAAACATAGGAAGAATAAATGATTGCAAATTATCAGATGACATAAGGGGAACTAAATTTTTTTTATGAATGAAACTTTTAAAACGTTACTTGTAAGTTGTATATGTTATATCTGCGAATTCTACCTGGCTGCGCGCATCCAGGGGGGGGGGGGCTGTCTTGAATATAGACTTGTAAATTACCATTATTTTGTAGATAGAATTAAGCCTTATCATTTTCTTAACTTTAAGAACAGTGCCTTGTTATATAAATGTCATAATCATTTTATGTAGAATGTAAAACATTAAAGCGGAATGCGCATCCATTTCAGTAAATGAGAAAGGTGGGGGCTAGGTTTCTTACAGTTTTCAAAAAAAAAAAAAGAAAATAATGGGGGCGGGGTATAAGATGCACACACATGACATATGTTTCATACTATTTATTTGCTTAAAACTCGACTCTGCAGAACCAGAGAAGGTTTTCTACAGGTCCATTCCCCATCACGGAGAAGACCTTACCTGCACAATGGCACCATGTGTATTGCCCGCGCAGCCTATTTATGAGAAAATGAAATGAATATTTTTTAGTGTTTAAGAAAACGTTGAACCTACGCTTGCGAAAGTTCTAAGACATTCAAAGATATTTAATTTCTCCTTTATCAAATCAAGAAACTGGTTATACGTTAAATCAGCAAATAGGGGCCTTTACTTATGCCATGAATATCACAGAAAAAGATAGAAAGAAAGACAAAGAAATTTAAAAAATCGACTTTTAATCCTCTTTTTTGCGACGACCGGAAGAATTGACGACGGACAAAATGTTGTTCGACACATCTTCAAGTCATGATCTATGATATCCGACACAGTAAACTTTCATATCTTAAGCTGTTCGGGAGAAATGGACCGGACAAAGGTCATTTCCAGAAGTTGGTCAATACGAAAATAGTAAGAATACTAGATACGATCTCGTTGCGAGCAACGACAGGTCTTCCGTCCGATTCAGGAAAAAAACTTATAAATTGGACTAAAAAGTGATTCAAAATTTTGATCACAAGGAGGAGTGAATCCAGGTCGCCAACGTGATTGCGCCTTTTTTTTCTCTTTTCTCCCCAACGCGCGAACCATTTAGCTATTGGGAATACTGCTTTAAATATACTTGTGCATACTTTTCCAACAGTACACCTGTCTAAGAATCATAAAAGGCGGGCCACTATTCATAATTTCGTGTCAAACGCCACGCGTAAACATTCGCAACCTTTCTTTGTACTGATCTATTAAAGAGGTGCAATAGCTTCAATGAAATTAATTAAATAAAACATTCTTATCACCTTTATTTTATTTCAGCGTTAGGAACGTATATTTCACATTGTACACATTACATATCGTATCTAGCCCATTAACACTAAAGCAGTGAAACGTAAATAAAGTTTTTTAAGATTGACACTGAATTGCAACGTACTACTACGTGAGAGTCCAAGTAGTTTTTTGCATTTCATGTATCCTTATTTCAGAATGGTTTAATCAAACGCTCAGCTGTCTCCATAAGCCCCTACTCGTGAAATGTCGGAGTTGACATAGACAGCCGCCATCTTGGGCCCGCTTCAGATTTTCAAATATTAATATCTAGAGTTCAGATTAACCAATATTAAAACTACTTATATAGTAAGTATCAATAGAAGTGTCTCTATTAATATTCCAAAAATAAATGAAAAATATTGAAAAACAAAGAAAGTTGAAAATTTAGACTTTTTGAATTGGCTTTCGGTAGCGACAGGAAGTACTGACGACGAACGAAAAGTTGCGTCCTGGAAAGTATTGATCATCATCTATAAACTCTGAAAGTTTCACATTGATATCGTTTACCGTTTTTGAGTTTAATCGTGGACAAAATGGCGTTTTAAAATCAGGAAAATGGTCCAAAACTTGGCACCAGAGAGGAATTTCCAAAAACTGTCTTGGAACTTTCAAGAGTATCTTACAACACATCTTTCCTGAAAATTTCATGTAATTCTATCCAGTAGTTGTCGAGAAATCGTGTCAGAAAAATAATAATAATAATAATAATAAGAAACAGAGCAATAACTATAAGGTCTTCCGTGAAGACGGAAGACCTTAATAACTAAATATTATAAATGATGTTATGATTTTTAATATTAACAAGTAACAATAAAGTTATTGTTAATTCACACAAAAAAATTAAATTAAACACAGCATGTTAAAAAACTTAAATGCTTTTTTTAGCCAAAGAGAAGATTGACCTTATCAAGCGGTCAGTTAAACAGACAGGTGGTGGACCAGCACCTCCCCCCTTGACATCTGCAGAGGAGGCATTGGCCAATTCACTGGACGGGAGGCCAGTAGTTGAAGGGATAGATGGAGGGATAGATACAGATGGTACTGACATGCATAAATCTATCACATGTTATCAAATACAAATTTGTCTAAATTATCAGTTTAATAGGTAGTTTCATTATACATGTATCATCAACACTTTTCAGCCATTGAAGAAAGCAGTCCTGCTCCATGCAGTTCATTGTCGGATGCACCTACATGTAGTGCTACACCTCAAGTGTCCGAAAAAAACATCATGAAGAGTAAGTGCCTCAATCGTGTAGTACTAAAGTGAAATGAAGTATGGATACACAAATTTATCTCATAAGTGTGGATGATACTACCCGTTGGATAAACCTAGATGCTATATCCACGGGTAGATGCTTTATCAATAGCACCTCTGGTTTGACACAACCCCTCGCCTCAAGATTTATTGAAACTTTTATTTGTGAAAATTCTTTCCCTTAAGTTTACTGTAGACATACTTTTTTCCACGGGGTCATAATATCGCGGAATCTCAATGTCTGTTTAATCCGTGGTTAGGAAATTACGCAGATTTTTTTTTTTTGACTACCGTATATACATACTTGCTTATAAGTCGGTTTTTTGGGAGTCTGGTCCAAAACTCTGTGTCCGACCTATAGGCGAGCTATAAAAAGAATGGTATTATATGAGGTCAGTCCATCTGAAATATTAGCTTATTCAATACAACCGACTTATAAGCGAGTATATACGGTATATGCCTTACATTCATATTGGTACACTTGGACAAATTTACGCGGAAAATTTTTAGCCGCGTACATAGCGCACATGGAAAAATTGGAGTACTTCTACACTAACAGTATTTTCACGATCCCTTAGTCCTTAAAATTTTCAGTTTGAACAATATCTACCCTGTATTTTCTTTCAAGGCATTTCAACATCAAAATTGCTACATCATTAAGGCGCAGATCCAGAGGGGGGAGGGGGGGGGTTAGACGATGACTTTTAATGTTTCAATACTTCAAACCTTTGACTTTTCATACCACTTTAATACAAATTCGCATTTACCGGGGGGGGGGGTCTGCGTTTTCCGAGGGGGGTGTCCAAGTTAACTTTTTTCTTGCTTTTGTATATTAATTTAATAACCTTGCAAATTCCAGGGGGGGGGGGGGGTCCTGACCCCCCAGACCCATCCCTCTAGATCTGCGCATGTCATTAAGTTATATGTCATCAATTTGAATTAGAAATCATTCATGTAGTTTCACAGGGGAAAACGTAAAGTTTTGTTAAAAGGAAAGTTGTATGAGATAAATAGAACATCTATAATTGTGTGATTTGATATTGGCTTTATCCAAGAATTATGTTATGTGTATATGATCGAGAGGCTTGCTAAGTGAATATACACTATTTTATCGAGTTGGATAAAGCCAATATCATATCACACAATTATAGATATCCTCTATACATCTACCAGTAGTTTTTTGTAAACTAGTTCATGTTGTTTTATCTACTGTGGCTAGAACAAGCATATTGAATTTAGTTTAGTTACATGTATGATAGAGAGTGTTGTAGTATACATGTATGTAAATTTAGGGCGATTGATCTGAATATGCTAGTATAAGCACCTTTATATTAGGCGAAATAATCTTTGTTTGCAGTTGCCCACCTGTAATTTTTTGGTTGGCAAAAGACAAAAAAATTAGTTTTCAAATTTCTGTCAAATTAACAAAAATAGTCCTACTAAACATAAATAAGATCCACTTGATATAAATTTCCTTGATTGATATATTAAAAAACAAAAATCAAAATTAAAAAAGGAGTTTCAATATCCGAAAAAAAAACTAGAAGCTTAAAGAAATGATACAAGATAGCTGTAAAAACAATATGGGGTATGGTGCTTTTTCAGTGGGTTGTTAGAGTACTGCAAACAAATATTTTTTTTTTATATTAGGCCATTCCAAGTTTTTTCTATGTTTAGCGTCCACCCATTTTACAAAATCCTACCTACCTATTCAAAAAAATCCCAAAAAAACACACAGACCAAAAAAGACGCTAAATAGAGAAAAAACTTGGAATGGCCTTAGGCCATAACTATTTTGCAAATATACTAATGCTTTTGTTTATGACAATGCAGAAACAAGGCCGGGAACATGTTCAGAAGTAGACAAATTATTGGCCGAAAACCTTAAAATGGACAAGCAAAGACTGGAGTTAGAGGTTCTGAAGCTGAGAAAAGAAACTGAAAAACTTTCGGAGGAGATTGCCTATTTTAATTGCCTATTTCAATGTTAAGAAATTATTTTATTTATCAATTAAAACTGCAAACAGAGTTCCAGATTCCTATTGCTGAGCCTGAAATGTAGATTACCTAGTATTGACATAGATCCCCCCCTCTCTCTTCAAATGATTAAAACATAAAGGCATGAATTAAATTATGCAGCTAGAATTTATTAAACATGTACTATGAATAAATATACAATGTACATGCATTAATATGACACTGAATAGGCCTTTCAACTAATTTTTCATGTTGCACATTTGGTAAAAAACATTGCATAGATAGATTTATAGGTACATGAAATTATCGATAATAACTTATGCATACATTTAATTACACCATTAAAAAGTTTAATTATTTATAATTGACTTTTCCGATGTTGTGTTTTAAGGATAGGTAACTCAGGTGCGAAAAATGACCAACTAAGTGCCGATTTATGAGTTATCGTTTATAGGAATGACATATAGGCTGCTTCAGAATTGGTATTGTTATGTACACAAAAGGGTTCCTTACATTGTTTTGTACACAATAGTGTTCACCATGAGAAAGAGGTTTGCCTTCACTCTACCTGAAATAACAGGGTCAAATGAATGGGTAACAGACTATATTCAATATTTTTAACTCTCTTTGACGATTATTATGAAGAAGAAAATTTAATGTCATGTTTTTTGATTTTTAATTATATGTAGTGAAATGGTGTCCGCAACTATACAGTAAAGAAGTTTAACATTGGTGCTAAATTTTAAAACCACTGGATTCTACTGAGAGCAAAGAAATCCTTAGTAAATGCTAAAAACTGCCTTGCGTGTAAACAGTTAGAAACCCCGAGTCTGCTCTCAACATGTTTTAATAGTGAGTTATCGTTCATAAAACTGACCCCTAGCGGCAATTGAAAGGCCTACACTGAAGTATTACATACATGTACATGTATACTGTACAAATAATTTTATTGACACACACAATAACAATAATAGCTTAAAATATTACCTAAGATCCTTTTCCACATTGTTATGTATAAAAATTAACATGTCATAATTCATTTTGATTTGGTAATTACTTAGATTTTTCAAATATTGACAACTTTGCAGAAAATTTGAAATTTGTACATATTCAACTGTGACCTAGTTAGAGTGATCTGCCCTTATAAGTAAGATTAAAGAAATTGTTAAAAAACAATTTCTGTTAGTGTCTAGAGCTTCCTTAATCAAAATTCATACTTTTACAATTTTTTAATTCACATATATAAGAAAATAGAACATATAAGATCAAAGTATAACAGTATAAGTATGTGTGAAAAGATGAAATTGTCATTCTTTACATTGTGATGAAAAATACTGGGTGTATACAAAACATATAATGCTGTTTTTGTATAATAGCTGTAATTTTATGAAAAGGTTGCCTTATATTCTGTGTTGGATACAGATGCAAAATGATTTTGCAAAACATTTATTGGATAAGTAAAGTGTTACAATGATTTTATATATATTACACTGACTTATTTTCAGAAAAAGTGACAGTGGTGATGTTCACATAATTAAATAAATTCTTTATTGATCACAAAATTTAGACTTTTCTTATTTTTTTCTAAATGATATGGATATTTGTACAAGTGTAATAATTTTTAGCTCACCCGAGCTTTCTGATCACCCATTGTCCGTCGTCCATCTAGATGTTCGTCCGTCAGTCTGTCTTCTGGCCATCTGTCTTAACTTCTCACATTTTCAACTTCTTTTCAGGAACCGCTGGGTCAATTTTAACGAAACTTTATACAAAGCATCCTTGGGTAAAGGGGGTTTTAAATTGTTAAAATAAAGGGCCAAGTCACAAGGAGAGACCAGAAGTCTCTGTCGAGACTGAAGCTCTACTGGTTTGAACTAGGAAGAGAAAAGTACTTAAGCAGCTGGGATTTGAAACTTTACAACAGCAATAAATAGAATAATGATCGTTGATAAAGTCTCTTTATGTTCTTAGTGTAATCTACTTGTGTGCCAAGTTATATTGAAATCAGACCAAAACTGTAGGAGGAGTAGCATTTTGAAGCAATTTTACAGACATTTCTATTTTTAGTAACCACGGCAACACAGTTCATCAAAATTAAAATTCGATACACAGAATTATGTATCTTAGTGTAGTCTACTTGTGTGCCAAGTTATACTGAAATCAGACCAAAACTGTAGGAGGAGTAGCATTTTGAAAGAATTTCACAGAAATTTCTATTTTTAGTAACCACGGCAACACCGTTCATCGAAATCAGAAACCGATACACAAATTTATGTATCTTAGTGTATTTTACTTGTATGCCATGCTATACTGAAATCAGACCAAAACTAGGAGGAGTAGCATTTTGAAAGAATTTCACAGAAATTTCTATTTTTAGTAACCACGGCAACACCGTTCATCGAAATCAAAAACCGATACACAGAATTATGTATCTTAGTGTATTCTACTCGTGTGCCAAGCTATACTGAAATCAGACCAAAACTGTAGGAGGAGTAGCATTTTGAAAGAATTTCACAGAAATTTCTATTTTTAGTAACCACGGCAACACCGTTCATCGAAATCAAAAACCGATACACAGATTTATGTATCTTAGTGTAGTCTACTCATGTGCCAAGTTACATTGAAATTAGACCAAAACTGTAGGAGGAGTAGCATTTTGAAAAATTGTTTACAGACAGACGGACGGACGCCGGACGCATTACTATCGCATAAGCTCTTCTGGTCTCTGACAAGTAGAGCTAATAATCAAGAAAAGACAAATATATGGTTAGGTCATCAAAAAATATTCTTCTCAAGAACCAGGGGCCACAATAGGGAATCCAAGTTTTACATTGAAAAAATTTAGTGGAAGCATCCTCAGGTAGTATACATGTAGGATGCATATTAAGTGGGCATATTTCCATTCTTGAGAAAAATACTACAATATTATTAATACACCAGTAAATACTTAGAAGATATGTATACATGTAATATACATGGAGCGGCCTGATTTCCGCCCCCGATAAATATACTCCATCTGATCATTGAAAATGTGAGAAGTTAAGACAGATGGCCAGAAGACAGACTGACGGACGAACATCTAGATGGACGACGGACAATGGGTGATCAGAACAGATCAGATCAGAACAGATCAGATCATGTACTAGGTTAAAGTTTTTGTGGACAAACAGAGAGGCAGACAGACAGTTGGACATGACAAAAACTATATACCCCCGAAACTTTGTTTACAAAGGCATAAAAGTGCAATTACTACCATCCTCCTTGGCCTTAGACACAGTTAGTAAATTATACTTTAACGTGCACATGCACTGTTGTATCAAATGTGTACAAATTCAAAAGAAATTATTTACAATGTGATTCCTCATAAACATTCCATCATTTCTTCCTTGGAAGCGCACACCATCGTCATTAACTGGATTTAAATATCCATCCCCGTTCGGCATCACGTCACCTCTCTGGATTCCTATGTTATGAAGGGCAACGCAGGCTGTAATATAAATGGCTGCCTGTGGGGGCTCTGTTGCCATTTCTGGAAGCGACGCTTCAAGACGCCAAAGGTCTGCTCAATTAATACTCGCGTCCTGCACAATGACTGGTTGAAATTCTGCTCTGCATTAGTCGTTGTATTCAGTATTGGGGTCATCAGGAATCTCCTGCATGGATATCCTGAATCCCCCAATAGTAGCCCATCATGCTGACCTAAAATACAATTAAATTAATTCAATGTTTTTTTTTTTTTAAATCTAAATTATTACATGTATCCTTATTTTCATTTATTTTAAAAACAAATTGGTCATTTTCTTAAACAAGAGGCCCAAGGGCCTTGAATGGCTCTTCTGATGAATCGTACAATCTGTCACATACTTCTTTTTGAAGTCTTCAGCTCTTATTAATAAGTATCCAAAGACCCAAGATGCATCAACTGACAAAGTTTGATGATCAAAAGCTAGGCCTTAAAATGTCCAAAATATATTGTCTCAAAATCAATTTGAAAACAAATGCCTCAAAATTATAAAAGAAGGTCACTGTGACCTATTTTTGAGTTAACATGATGTAAAGCCCTAAGATTCACCAGTCGTACAAGATTTGATGATCCTTAACTTTATAGTACACAAAATATTAATTAACAAATTTATTTAGTGTAAATTTTGGTCAACTTTGAAGTGACTTTGAGACCACGCCCTTTGCCCCAGGGTAATTTGTTTAAGAGTCCCAATGCTAGTTTTAGTTTATTAATGGTTAATTTTTTTTACTACTTCCACAATAAAAGCTTTATGTACCCCTTGGGCTAAGGATACCCTGTTACAAAGTTGACAATAATTGGCCAGCAATTGAGGGGTTCTTGAGTTATGGTCTAAAAAGTTCACCACACACAGCACAAATTTTAATGGCCATAGTATATTATACATGTAGCTCTTTGAGCCTTTGGCTCAGAAGAGCTAATAAAATTCAAAAGATCTTATAAATTTGGAGACCTTAGGAACAGATTGGACTTATTTTATAATTATAACTAATAAGCTGTTGCACTTGGTCAGTTCAGAAATTCACACCGTCATGTAGTAACATTTATTGTTTCGACCTGTTAATGGATAGATATCTATTACAATAAATAACAGTTTGTTGTAATTATACAATTCTCATTATTATTAACAGTCATTTTTAAATATTAAATAACTCACACATTGACGGGCTAAATACATGACATTGTTTCGCCGTTGAGGAGTCCGTGCATCTCAAACCGGATATTACTTACGAAATAATAAAGTCCGAAACGATACGGACGGAATGTACAATTCCGAAACGTACACTCCCCCCACCATTTGTCCAGGGATATGAAAAAGTTCACATGTTCACAGTTTACATTTACACCTGTTCTTCAACTGGAAGAATCACAACTAATCGTCGAACTGATCTGCAAACCACCGTATCTGGACAACCACAATATTTAGGATCTTGGTTCAAATTTTTGTATCTAAGTTTTACATCCCGAACTTTTCCATCACTTCCTGGGTTTGCCTCCAAAACTTGTGCCAGTTTCCATTGACCACGCACATTATTTGAATCTTGAACAAGTACAATGTCACCATTTTGAATGTTTCTCCTTTCATGATGCCATTTCTGTCTTATAACAAGGGTATGAAAGAAATCTCGTGTCCATCTTCTCCAAAATGTATTCACCACACGCTGAACAAATTTCCATCTTATTCTGGGGTCCTTGCAATCATCCCAGTCTCCTACAGGGACTCTGGTGCTTGCCCGACCTAACAATAGATCGTTCGGACAAAGGTATGTACCTTCAGTAGGGTCGCAATTTTTTGTACCAATGGGACGTTCATTTAGTAGATTGGAAACTTCAAAGAGAACTGTTTGTAACTCTGAAAATGTCATAATTGCTGACCCAAGGGCAGACTCAATATAAATTTTTGTTGAACGAATAAGCGACTCGCTGCAACCATTTTCCCAGGGTGCGTCCGCTGATTTTGTTGTCTGCCAATCCATGCCTCTAGCTTTCCCAAAATTCTTGATATCTTCCCAATCCCAAGTATGTACAACTTTTTGTAATTCTTTCCCGGCAGCAATTAGTTGAGTACCTGCATCAGAAATCATTTTTCTGGGATATCCTCTGATGGAAACAAAACGTCGTAGTACCATAAGGAAACTGCCCATGTCATATCCTTCTGCTACATCAATATATACTGCTCTTGAAACTAAGCAATTAAACAAGACACCATAACCTTTCCCATGGGTCCTCTTCTTAACTGTGTCCTTGATTACAAGAGGTCCAAACAAATCAACAGCACACATGTAGAAGGGAGGGGTCGGTTTAAGTCTTGTCTCTGGCATTGGACCCATCTGTTGACCTTGCATTGATTTGAATTTTCTTCTACATATTACACACCTAAATTTAATTCTGCTTATAATGTTTTTTACTTTACAGTACGGTCAACGCGGATTAAGCATTAAAGCGCCCTCCCCCGCGGTGTTTTGATCCTTTCCGCGATACACCCCCGCGGTTATTTCATAGGTATCCAAAATCTGCTTCGGATCTTTGCTAGAGTAACGTCTATTCCTGCATGATCTTCATTGTGTATTGCTTTCACTACATATTCTGTAAATACATGATTTGTAGGAAGAAGTGCAAATGTGGTCTGATTCCAGGTTTCTTCAATCCATTTACTCATTCTTTGTCCAACTGTAATAATTCCATCCTTTGTTCGTTCAGGGCCAAGACGTCGAAACCTCTGCATAACATTGTTTGGTAGGTCCATTTGAGCATGTAAAATCCAAGCCTTTTCAGCCTCTCTTATAACTTCAGCTGTCACATTTTTAAGAATCTTCTTGAATGAGTGCACCTTGAATATAAGTTGCAAAATACCAGTGAGTCTATATAGCTTATTCAAGGATGAGATTCTCGTGGTGTCTATCAATTCCAGTATCCGAGTCGAGGATTCCTTTGGCTTCACTTCAATATTTTCTGTCAACACACTGTGCACCAATGAATCCGGAATTTCTAAAACATCAACAGTTTGTTTCATTGGCCACTTTTCAATAGGATAGTGTAAGAATTCTGGTCCTTTCTGCCACCTTGAATCATTGTTTAATATGCTGGGATGTGTAATCCTTGTTGTAAGATCCGCAGGATTTTGATCAGAAGGAATCCAAAACCATTCAGCCTTTTGTGTCTTTGATTGAATCTCGGCTATCCTATTGGCGACAAATGTACCAAAACCGTAACTTTCCTTTTGAATTTGGGCACGGACAATTGCAGAATCAGTAAGATGAATTACTCTCTGAAATGTAAAAGTCATGCTTTCCACAATTTTTTCCCTTATTCTAGCTGACAGCACAGCACCGCAAAGCTCAAGCCTTGGAATGGAAAGTTGCTTAACTGGCGCAATCCGATTTTTTGCAAAAATTAATCTGACGTCATAAGTGTCTCAAGCAGTCTCCCATCTTATGTATGCACACGCTCCAAAAGCAAGATTGCTGCCGTCAGAAAAAAGCACCAAGACCGGATTTCCAAAGACATTAGTTGGTTTTAAACATCTGGGAATGCACAGGGATTCTAACTGAAAGAGTCCATTGAAAAATTCTATCCATTGTTGTCTCATTTCTGCGGATAAAGGTTTATCCCACACTTCAGACTTACTCTGGTTTCCTTGGCATAAATTTCTTATGAGAGATTTTGCACTAAGAGTGTAAGGAACGATCAGTCCTAAAGGGTCATACACTCCTGCAACTTGGCTGAGTACTATTCTTCTTGTCAAAATTTCAGGAATTTCCTCCAACTTATTGGTTGATTTCTCTTCATGGCTTTTATGCTTTGTTTTCTTGGAGAAGTTCAATCGCACTTTAAATGTAAATACATCATCAACAGGTTTCCACACTAGTCCCAACACCTTTTCTGATTCTGTATTTATTATGTTGATTTCATTAATTTCCTGATGATGGTCTCCTGATATAATCCAATGCTTTATGTGAAAGCCACCAAAGTCCAATACTTGATTGATATCCTTAGCCAATTGCAATACATTTTCAAATGTGGAATCTGATGCTAAAATGTCATCAACATAGCTGTTGTTTTTTATAACACTAGCAGCCTTTGGGTAAACATCTTCCAGCATTTCAGCTGTTTTATTGAGAGCTATAATAGCTATAGCACCACTGGGGCGATCTCCAAATGGAACACTGGTCAGCACATAATGATCTGGTGGTCTGTCAATTTCACAATTTCTCCATAAAAATCTGTGCGTATGCTGATCTTCAATGGAAAGATGAATCGAGTTATACATTTTGGAGATATCGCCTACAAGACCAACCTGATTTTCTCGAAACTTCAACAAGATGGAAAGAAGGTCATTTAAAACTTTTGGTCCTTTAGCCCAGTAGTCATTAATAACATGACCCATATAGGAAGCAGAAGAGTTGAACACAATTCGAAGAGGTGTGGATGATGATTCTGGTTTTAAAACCTCATGATGTGGAAGATAGTGCACAGGTCCTTTGTATGAAGTAACTTCCTCTGGTGATAATTTTCTAGCAGCCTTTCTCTGCACCATGTCATCTATCTGTTTTTGATATTCCTGAGTGTGTTCATCGCCAGTTTTTTTCAGTCGTTGTTCCGTTGACCGTAAACGGCCTATAGCAGCTTTTATGTTATTAGGCAGTTCTGAAGGATTCCGTTTCCATGGGTAATTTATGGTCCAGCATTTGTTGGCATCATCATGCTTTAATCCAGTCTCAATCATGTTCAGTTCATGCTCCTCTTCAATGGTGTAATGTCCTGAACCAACAACACAATGTCCACATCGACACCCTCCACATCTTGGTTGACAGTAGGTTCCTAAGCTTTCAATGTCTAGAAAACTATCAAACTGATCTTTTAGCGATTTAGTATTCATGATATGCATGGAATTTAATTCACTTCCCGACAAATGATTGATACAAAACGAGTTTGGCATTGCGGATACTTTAATCAGAGAATGACTTCCCCTCACACAATAACCAAATTGATTTTTCATCAGTTGAAGATTCCCGACGCCGTCAACTCTTGTGGGTAAAAGAACGCTACAGTCTGATCCAATCAGTAAATCAACCTCTCCACATGGTCTGTAGATATCAGAGTCTGTAATTCCAATAAATAATTGTGCTATTCCACTGACATCTACCTTGCCTGCATTTGTTGTAATTTGCTCCATACCGTATCCCTTAATTTGCCAGGTATTGCCATCCTTGTCTGTCAAGGGGATTATATATTCTTTGCTATGTAGTTGTTCCATAACATTTCCCACCTTCGTGATACTGAGGGTTACATCTTTTCCTTGTAAATTAAGTTTCCTTGCTGCACGATGTGAAATTAACGAAATATTTGATCCTGGATCCCACAAAGTTGATAGCGAAATATCCTTACACTTAACTTCACTGATCATAAGTAGGACATCTTCTCCAGGTTCTTTGCTATTAACAATTCTCACAATGTTAGCAACATTTCCCTCTTGACCTTCTTGATGCAGTGACGAGTGATGTAATTTTCCAGTATGTTCACATCCTTTCTTTTGAGGACAGTATTTCGAGATAAGTCCTGTTTTTAGACAAACAGCCTCGATTTTTTCTGAGTAAGTCCATTTTGGCACCAACGTCCTTTCCGTTGAAATTCCAACACTGAGAAATATCATGTGTATCACTGTTATGGTACCAGCTACTCCTTTGTGATGGCGAGGGTCGACTAAATCTTGGTAGATTTTGATTTGTTTGATGTCCTTGACGAACAATTTCATTGATGCTTGCTAGGCCGTCTACAACCTTTTGGAGGACTTCTTGATTGTGCTTCATCTGAACACTTAGTTGATCAACTGGAGAATGTGAATTTGTCTCTGCTACATGGTGGATTCTTGCTTTGGAGTTATTCCTTATTTCTGATTGCATGTATTCCATGGCATTCTTTTCTTCTAACAGAAATTCAAGTAATGGAAGAAATATCTCTAATTTCCCAGCGTGTTTTTTCTTTTGCAAAACCCATTCTCTCTTTTGTACAGGGGGTAGAATTTTTTCGATTTCGCTTACCATTGTCGCCGTATTCATCTCTCTCTCCATTTTCATTCGTTTCAAATCTAAATAACATCGTTTAATCACTTCTACACTATTTATAAAGCTGATATGGTCCCCATCGGCTATGACCTTGAGCTTCTGGATGTCACTCAAAATTGAATCTGTTAGTTTCTCTGGTCTGCCATACTTTAACTGCAGTCTGTGCCACATTTCTTCGTAATCATTATCCACTCCTTGAATAACCTTTAATGCCTCTCCGTGTAAGCACTTTTTCAGAGCGAATGGGTCTAAGCCATACGATGGTACCATAATACATTCATAGTCTCTTTTGAAACTTGGGTATTCCCGTATTGCACCGCTAAATGAAGGTGCATCAAGTTTTTTAACTTTAACTGTTTCCTTTTTTGTTTTTGTCTCTAATTCTTTTTGTTTAATCTTTTCTGCTAATCTTGTCACATGTAAACGGCAGTCACATAATTCACTGTACATTTTGTCCATGTCTTTATCAACATTTTCATGTTCACTTGCTTGTAATTCATTTTCTAGATCTAAAAGTTCTACATATTCTGCATGACTTCTTTCTAAATCATTATAGGACGTTTCTAGATCACCAAGAATATTTTGTAGTACACCATGGTCCTCCATATAACCTAATTCTCTAAATCTGTTGTATATTCTATAAAACTTGCCCTTTTGCGTTGAACGTCGACGCTTCTTGCCCTGTAGCTCAGGATCTTTCGACTCTTCGGGTGGCGGCATGTTCCCTGTGTGTCGAAATGTTGCACTTGGTCAGTTCAGAAATTCACACCGTCATGTAGTAACATTTATTGTTTCGACCTGTTAATGGATAGATATCTATTACAATAAATAACAGTTTGTTGTAATTATACAATTCTCATTATTATTAACAGTCATTTTTAAATATTAAATAACTCATACATTGACGGGCTAAATACATGACATTGTTTCGCCGTTGAGGAGTCCGTGCATCTCAAACCGGATATTACTTACGAAATAATAAAGTCCGAAACGATACGGACGGAATGTACAATTCCGAAACGTACATAAGCAATTGGTTTTGATCACTTTTCACACTGAATATCAGTTCTCCTAAAAAAGACATGTAAAAGTTATAACTATCTGTTAGGAGCAAATATTTCAATCTTGGGAATTGAGGCACATTATTTGTTATTTAATGAAAAAAAGGAGGAATCTCACCATTTTCAAACTTTGCACACAGTGCTGATTGTCGGAACACCCTGCTGTCATGAACAGATCCAGGCCAGTTTGCAATGCAACTTGTTATCTTAAATGTGTGGTCACAGCACATCTGTATATTAATTAAAGTGTAAGGGAATTTCACAATGGACAAAAATTTAATTTATTAACAATATAAGTATATATAGTACATTATGTTCCTGAAATGTGTATGAAAATAAAAATCTAGTAAATCAAGTCAAAATGAAATGATTTCAGATGTACCAAGATACTGTATTACTTTATTGGTCAGTAAGCATATGATAAGCATTATGACTTATAGGTAACTACATGTATATTCTTCTTTATTTCTTCTTTTTTTCAAAAATAAGTTTCTAAAGGATATAATATTATACAACTCTTACATTTTTGAATTGAATGCATTATTTTTCTGTTTATTCATTTAAAATTTCCTTATCATAAAAGATTAAATGACTTTCCAATAATCTCATTAGTTCCAGATGATCAAACTAGACTCATACTTTTACCTGCACATTCAAAGAATGATAGCCTTTTCTGTTGACATAATCTGCTTCATTCAGTTTTGGCTTCCTAATTCTTATCTGAGTGCCATCCAAGCATCCAAGGACATTTGGAAAACCTAAATTTCATTAGAATAACGAATACATGTGTCACACTCACTGGCCTCTCTAGATAACTTAATAATTAATGCAATTATTTAACATCAAATAATAATTAAGCTCTGTAATATATACTATATATTGTATTTATAAAATATTAATTATACAATACAAAAAATTTCAAATTTGATAAATAATTTTCTTTTTCTTGTGTTATTATTGTATATCACTAAAGTATTCAAAATTATATAGAGTCCCTGTTC